TTTGTGCACTTAAAAAGAAGGATGGAGGAGTTAGGCCTATTGCAGTAGGCAACACTTTTCGCCGCCTCGTTTCCAAAGCTGCTGTCTGGAGCATTCACGCAGAGGCGGTCATGATACTTCAACCAAACCAGCTTGACTTTGGTGTCTCTCAAGGAAGTGAAGCAGCGGTTCATGCAACAAGGGCGTATATCAACAACCTGCCTGAGGACAATGCAGTAGTAAAATTAGACTTCAAGAATGCATTTAATCTCCTGAAAAGAGATGTGGTATTAGCAGCGGTACAAGAACATTTCCCTGGTCTCTTCCCCTTTGTTTCAGCTGGATATAGCAAGGAATCAATGCTCTTGTTTGGAGAGCATGAAATCACATCATCAGAGGGTGTCCAGCAAGGACACCCTTGCTGGACACCCATTTCTCTTCTGTACAGCGGTTAGGAAAATCACAGTCAGACTGACCAGTGAGCTAAACATCTGGTTCCTGGATGATGGAACAGTAGCAGGAGCAAAGGAGTCCCTCCTAGATGATCTTACACAGGTAATGACACAGGGACAGGAAATGGGTTTCATCCTGAATCCATCCAAATGTGAAATCATCTCAGTCAGTCAACAAGTGATAAATGCAGTGAGATCTAAACTACCAGGAGCAGCAGTCATTGCCCCTACAAATAGCGTCTTGCATGGAGCACCTCTGGGAAGTGATGCCATTGACACAATTCTCAGTAAGAAATTGGAAGAGTTGAGGAGAATGGAACAACAATCTTGACACCCACGATGCCTTGTACCTTCTCACAAAGTGCTTGAGTCTGCCCAGGTTGACATATTTCCTAAGATGTGCACCTTCATATGATAACCCTATACTGCACGAATATGACAACATCCTGAGGCAGATTTTTACGAAAGTATTTAACCTTAGTCTAGAAGACGGGCAGTGGAACCAAGCTACACTTCCACTTGGTGTCCACAAGTCATCACAGATTGCGCTACCTGCTTTTCTGTCCTCATGCGTTGCATCCAGAGGGTTTGTAGAAGCAATTCTCCCTGAACATCTTAGGGTCAAGATTGGAGTCCAGGACCAAAAGTTCATTGACGGAGCCATGATCTGGGATAATCTAACGGGTTCTGAAACCAGACCTGCTCCCCCCAACAACTACAAACAGTCGCACTGGGATGGCCAGATAGTTGAGAAAATAGCCTCAACAATGCTTCAGAGTGTGTCAGGGAAGGATAGAGCCCGCCTCCTGGCAGTGAGAGCTCCTCATACAGTGGACTTTCTGTTGGCTGTTCCCAACTCCAGCCTTGGCACACGGCTCGACCCACAGACCATCCGCATTGGTGTTGCCCTTCGACTTGCCGCCCCTATTCTCGCCGAACACAGGTGTATTTGTGGCAGTTAAGCAGCAGACCGATTCGGGTACCATGGTCTTGTGTGCCGTAAATCAGTGGGAAAGATTGCAAGACATGAGGAGGTTAATAACATTATCAAGAGGAGCCTCACAACAGCCGGATGCCCAGCAGTAAGGGAGCCACCCCAACTATGCAGATCTGATGGCAACCAGAAGCGTCCAGATGGTATCACACTTCAAGCCTGGACAGACGGTAAGCAAGTGGTGTGGGACTACACATGTGCATCTACCTTGGCTGATACTTATCTCCGATACACCAGGGAGGAAGGAGGGACAGCCGCCAGCTTCAGGGAGTCCCAAAAGTCTAGAAAATATGGAGAACTTGCCCATCATTTATGTTTGTTCCCATAGGCTCAGAGATCCTTGGCTCATGGGAAAAGAGTGCATCTAAGTTCCTTAAGGAGCTAGGGATCCCAGGGCAGCTAGTTTTCTGTTCCAGCGACTCAGTGCGGCTGTTCAGAGGGGTAATGCCTGCTGTATTTTGGCACACACCCCAGTTCTGAAGAGCTGGATGGGATTTTCGCATTATAATCAGTAAAAAACACGTAACAATATGTACTAGACATGTATCTCTCACATCTCGGTTGTAAGTGACCATTGGAATAAACTGAGAGACTGAATGATGTTATGTTTGTATATACTTCATGTATCATGAGATTGTAGAGACATTCCCAAGCATACAAACTCATGAATGTAAGATAAAATTAGCCAGATATTCAGATGCCTTGCATAAAGTCAAGCATGTGGGCGAGAGGCGTCTTTAGGAATATACTTTACTAAGACAAAAAAAAAAATACAGTTGAATCCATGAATTTACACAGTAATACAATACAGAGTGCTCATGGAAGGCCAGATCGGCTGAATGTTATTGACATACTCTGACTGATGAGGTACTCGCTGGACTGACGCTGCAGGTGATCCATGGTAAGCCGCTTCTGAAGATACACTACTGCTACATCCCCACAGTAATGTTTGTACGTGTGTAGAGAGCCCAGCCTTATCTATGTTCGGTATACCACTAACACCACCACTATCACCCCTTTTGCCACCACTATCACCACCACCACTCCCACCACTAGAGCCATCATGGCCACAACCACCACCAACACTATAGCCACCACTAACACAGCTTATATCACCACCACTATCACCCCCCACCATAACCACTGCTACCGCTATCGGCACAACCACCACCAGTTCCGCAACCAATATCACTACCATCACCAATACTACCACAACCACTACCAACACTACCACCACCAATTCCGCTATTGCCTTGATCTCCCGTTGTTCTGAGTACACTATCTTATCACCTTCCTAACAGCGTATGCAATTAATTATACGGACATGACTGTTGTTGCTTCAGTCGCCTTGTAATGATATTAACTCAATAATGATAATATCTTAGCAATAATAACTTAGTAATGACAATAACTAGAAATGATAGTAATGACTGCAATAATAGTAATAATAATAATAACCTAGAAGCATTGGATTGTCGTTATTGACTATATAGGTACCAGTTTGCGCAACGTTACCTCACTCCTTTGCTGTCCTTGTGTCGTAGCTCCAAAAGAACTATGGAAATTTGACTTTCCTAAATAATGTAACATATTTTCTTATACGAATGAAGAGAATTTTTATTGATTACAAATGAGAGGAGAAAATTGAGAAATAGTTAGAAACTAGCGTCATTTTTTTGTAGCGTTTTAAGTTTTTCACGGGTTTAGGGAGCACTAATGATTGTTTTCGTAGAGTTTTATTCCAGAACTGAAATAAAACGGGTAATTTCTCTTCATTTTTTCTATCAAGGGAGGTTCCTTGGCGTCGGCGAGAGGAAAGGGGACTCTTGAGCTAAGGCACAGGAGCTGAGCATCCCCATATCTTGGATGGTAGCGCACTCAGCTCACACATCGAGGTCCGTGGTTTGATCCTTGGTACGGGTGGAAATATTTCGAAGTGTTTCCTTAACACAGGTGATGTCCCTCATCACCTATCAGTAAGTAGTTACCTGGGTGTTAGCCGACTGGTGTGAGTCGCATCCTGGGGGATGCGGGAAATGCTCTGCATAACCAGACGCTTTCTATACAGTATATCAGCTGTAGTCTGTATAAACTGTATCATGTCCTTGTTGAATTAAAGATTATATATAATTATTATTATTTGCTTGGTTGTACAGGTCGATTCATAGCTCCTGGCCCCGCTTCTTCACAGAGACCTATATGAGAAGGAATCCACATTTTTTTAAGGTGCCAGTGGGAAAAAAAAATTGGACGTCTTTATTTATGAACCGATTACATTCATTTTTGGTGTACTATTAGAAGCTTATATAACACCTCCTGTGCTGAAGTTTCAAAAATATCGGCCAAAAAGGAAATGAAATATGCAAAATTTACGAAAAATTACATTTGGCAGTACTCAAGTACTCAGTGGTACTTGGAAAAGTGGTTTTGACATTTTTTTGTGATAGAAACACTTCTGATTCCATCATATGTAAGACCGCAATTATATAATAAATCTTATCTTCATGCTAAAAAAAATAAAGTTTCATAACTTTTTTGACATTTTGGAAGATGTCGGTCTTGTTGCCCACCAAATCTGAAAATATTTGGGATACTTCAGAAACGCTTCTGACAGTTTGTAAAACAATCATTCTTCTATGTTTGTTGTGAAAATCAAGTCAATTCATTCATAAATAAAGGAAGGGGATCCATAAATAGGTAAATAACTTACTTTCGAGATATAGGCCGAAGCGCGCGGCACCCCCCGCTGCCCGGAAATAATTTTTTCCCCGAAAAATTCGCTTTATTTTACACTTTTTCCGCGGCCTACGAGTGTTTATTACAGTTAACCATTGTAAATTACGTTTTCTCTCATCACTATAGAGAGGGCGGACCCTCTCTTCACCTTCGGGGAAAAAATCGATAGAAATTTATTCCCTTTGGGGGGTCATATTATGCTATATATTTTTTTTGAGGTGTACTTTTTATGTTTATATGCTATTATTTTAAATTTCATTATATCATAATAGATCAATTGTGATAGATAAATAAGCCTTATAATTGATATTTGCGTGGGTATGGAATATTTTGTTGGCTGGAGGTGTCGGCCATTTTATGCACTAATTTCCCCGGGGTTCCCGATTGGTTCCTTGACCATTTATCTCCGCCCCCTCTGGCATGATCTCAGATGGTGAATTTGTATTAAAATTAGACATAAAGATGTACGAAAACGATCAAAATAACACGGGGGGAAACGCAACAAAAACGTCAACAAAGCTGAGTCAGCGCTTCTTACGCGACATGTTGCGTCAGCGCTGTCACCATGCCTGTTATAAATGGCTGTAATTCCTTTTAGAAACATCGTACAAGGATAATAATTATACCAGCGTGTAGCCAGAAAGTTCAGCTATTTTTTGGTAACAATAACTCAGTTTTCATATATTTTCGAATTTTTTTTTGCTCCGCGCGCGGGACACCTTAAATGCCCCTTTTAATTCTTCCCCCGTCAGTAATACTTATAATTATATATGGCATATTGATGTATGTGATATATGTATATGGCTTAAAAGCATGTCATATTTCGATCTTAGGCTATTTAGGGCAGCTAATGAATATGTGGAGTCAGTGATAATTAAATTGTTTTTAGTTAAAGCTTCTGCAAACTTGAGTGAAATAAGAATAGCAAATAGCTCAGTCTGTAAGGCGGCTTTAAGGAATTCATTGCTTTGACGATCCCACATGAAGCTCTCCTGTCAGCTGTCTTTCTCATCGAAAAACCAAAATACAAAAAAAATCTATTCAGAAACTCCAATTTAAGTATAGGACCGAAACTCTTTTTTACGCTATTAAATAATTTTACAATTTTAAATAAAATTTAGAGGCACACTTGTTCCATTCGTTTACTATGAATTTTTCCACACCCTGAGACGTGACTTACAAGGTGCTAAAGTTAGAGTTGTCACTGCCTGCTGAGGAGGGAGTCGAGAATTTTTTTCTTTTATGAGAATGTATATATATATGTCACTGTTAATGGTAAGCAAAAGCCTTCACAGTAAACTGGTTGAATAATTCTTATGACCCTTTGTGGCTCGAGACTCAAAAACTCTACTAAGTATCGCTTCAGGAAAGCCGAGTTCTAGGTACAGGTGTTTAGTGCTTCCACGAATATTTAAACGAACAAACAAAAAAAAAATTATCTTTGTACTTTTTTACTGAAATATAATCAGATTAGATTATATAAATATTAGAGTTCAGTATAATAACGATGGATACATAAGTGAGGAACTAGACGGTCACGTCACTGTCCACTGGTAACTGATAAATGATAAATGATAAATGATAAATGATAAATGATAAATGATAATTGATAAATGATAAATGATAAATGATAAATGAGTATATCATCCTCGGCTAACAGGCGAGAAATGTACAATTTACTCTTCACTGAAAATCCACGAATGGACACCTTACCCTCTACTAGTATATCATGAGTTTACATATCTATCTCAGCTCTAAGATCCCCCTCAAGAGAGGTTCCTTGATGAAGGTGAGGGGCTCTTGATCTAGGGAATTGGATCTGTACTCCAGCTACCTGAATTTAGCCTGAATACCTTCCCCCCCAGGCGCTGTATAATCCCTACGGGTTTAGCACTCCCCATGATTATAATAATAATCCTCTCTAAGATAGAAATCAAGGAAAAGGTATTAACGTACAACTCGTATGGACTCTATTTCACACTGAATTATTTTTATATGGTAAGACTGATAAATTAGCGATGAAAAAATTGAATGAAGTCGAAGTCGAAAATGAAAGAAGTCTATCTTCAAGAAACAAGTATTCCGGGAAACGTTCCTTTAATTGGTTGCCTGATTTTTTTCCCCTTTCTGTTTCTTCTTCCAAACTTACTTCTAAAAAATTGTTTAGCGTGTTTCAATACATTTCGTTGTGAATGAAACAGTCGTCGGGGATGAAGTAATGGGGGGGGGGGAACTTTTAACTCCATATAAAGTTTAAAACGTTAGTTTTAATTCATTGCAAAATTACTGTACAATTCACTATGAACTATTCGGTTTTTCATTTATACCCAGTCTTCTTTTATTCGGACTTCCTGCAATGAATATATTCACTATTCACAATAATTATGCTAAGGACGAAAATATTTTAAGTAGTGTGTGTACCGTATATGCATTTTTTTAGGCCTAGTTCTATTGCTCACTTAATATATGATAATGTAAGCATGTTATCAGGCTTTTATATGCATTTGAAATTGAAAAAGGCTTTGTTTCACTCTACACCGATTTTCGCTTTACAGCGGAAGCTTGGAACCTGACCTGGTCATAGTGAACGACTGTCCCTGAACAAACAGATGACATCGGTTCGATCCCCTAACCACTTATTCTCGTTTATTAATGGATAGTCGATCACAATAATGATCATATAAGTATACACCAAATAAGTAAGTCGTTTTTTTCTATAGTATATAATATTAAGCGGAATTGGTATGTGTATGTCAGCATACAGTAGTTAACTTTTAAATATATATTTGTTTTTATATCAGGTATACATTCAGGGAGTATATATATACAACATGTCAGCCTAGCAAAAGAAGTTTTATAAGGCGTTATCTCAAACAAAGTCGTCAAGATGACACACACAACTGTGATATAAATTAATAGCATGTGAATTATGACTTTTATAACCAATTTAAATAATTCTGTTTGTGATAAGTAACAGCGTGGTTTAGACTTTCTGTTAGTTTTGGGATGAGGCGTTAACATTTAATACCTAAACACAATTTTCACCTTACCAGTCGTGAGCCGTGAAGTTAAATGGTATAAAATCCCGACACGATGGAAAAATAGACACAAATGCAGTATAATGCGAACCTTTATTGACGACGTTTCGCCCAGACAGTGAACTTGGTGGTCAGAAGGGAAGACTTGCCGCAAAAATAATGTGGTAATTGACCAATAAGACTTACGTACGATTAACGGAGAGTAGTCTTCTATAAATGTACGGGACGGGTTATGTGTACGTCAGGTGTTATGGGTCTACCAGACGCCACCAGCAGACTGCCAGATATGCCGTGAAAATTC